GCATTTCAAACCCAAGGTCTTGAATATGGTGACAATGGCATCGATGACAGCAGAGTGGTATTGGGAGAGAGAACTTTCGTTGAGAATGTTTTGAAGGAGGGTGTTGATCACCACAGTTGGATAATACTCCTCATTGGAGGGCGTGAGACCTTGCATAATAAGGGAAACGTCTGATACCGCCTGGACTTCATTGACATGATGGATATCAGGTGAAGATTCACTAATTTGCTGATGTTTATATGGATCCAAAGCGCCGAGAATACCAAGCAACTTTATGGTTTCCTTTCTCAGTGACCCGGTTTGCTCGGTTTTTATAATGTTAATTAGAACAGCTAGGAGGTTTGGATATTCAATATAAGGTTCGATGACATATCCTGCGTTACTCGCAAGTTGGCCCAACGTTCGTAACGCTGCTTCTCGCTTAGACTGGGATGATAAATCTTGAAGCGCTTCCAAGATAATAGGCATAAGCTGTGGTAAATATTGCCTCATATCCTCCCCACCCACTGTCGCAAGTTCGCCAATGGCTTTCAATGTCGTCGACGCGACTCCGGCATTTGGATCAGTTGTTTTTGGAAATAGAGCCGTCACCATGGGGTCAACATAGGATCGAACAAGTTTCGTGGCATTCGCAACAAACAAGCTGATCAGCTGTGCGCTTTCCTCCTTTTGGCGGGACGTGGTAGCAAAACTGAGTCCAGTCAACAAATTCACCAGCAGTTTTCGTAACGGCGGGAAAACGTAGGCAGGATTGACGCTAGAAAGTCGTCCGATAATACTAATCGCTGCTTCCCGAACAGCAAATACTTCATCGTTCACTGCAAGGAAGAGGCATCGAACATTCTCAGGTTTGGCCAAATGGCGGTCGAACTTTCGGTCTAGTGACTCCAGGACGATTCGTCGAATTTCCGGGTCTGGATCCCCCACGCCAACAGATAGAAGAGTATCTATAACTTCGCTGACAACTTGGATGGAGTGACTACTGGTTTGATTGATGATTGGATCGTGGACGAATAGTTGGCAACACGTTAACGCAGACGCTTTCCGGATTTCCGGATTGTCATTATTGACAAATGTGATAGCAACGTCGCGAACAAATTCGTTCAAAATATGTCCTATGAAAGTCAGACCAAAGTTAAAAGGAATTAAGGGGTATTGTGGTGGCTAAAACTAACCAGAGAAGTCAAAGCTGCCAAGCGTATGTAATGCAAGGGCTATTTCAGTATCAGTTGGTTCTTGCAGGAAAGTTCCGTAGTCCTTTGCAAACGAAGGCATTGGCGGTGGCCGATTTTCCGGGCAGCCAAGGGGTCGAAACGGGGAACCAGACAGGACTATGCTTAGCATATCAAGCAATTTTTCTTGGATCGTTGCCTTGATGGGAGGTATATAGTGCGCCATGTCCACCAAAGCCTGCGTGAGAGATTCGCTTAGCCCGCACGCGAATATTGGATCCAGTAAGGCCTCCATATATTTGCTAAGGGTTTGTCCAACGGCCAACGATAACATGCTGATGCACTCGAACATCGGACCTTCGTTGACCGCTGCGCGGTTGCGACTATAGGCATATTAGCGCGGAGCAAAACCACAGATGAACTAATTTTCTGGCTTACGCTTTCATTGTTAGGCCTTCCCGTATATAAACTATAATCCCATCAAGAAACTGCCCGATAGAGTTGCCCACCGCATTCGCGATTTTTCCAATGGCAATGAAAGCGGCGTTTCGCTCCTTATCCCGCTTTAACTGCGCTTGTAAGTATATCATAAATCTATGTAGATATACATTGGTAAACTCTAGAGGTGCGTAGGATGCTAGAATCGGGATGGTAAGGACGATCTGTGTTCGAATCTTCGGATCACGGTGATCTTTGAGGCGTAGTACTATTTCGCAGGTATTTCGATAATGCTCGTTCATGAACATGGCCCCTTTCAGGAGGAGCTCTTTCAAGGTGAGGAGCGAGCCATGAATCCAATCCACATTGCTGGACCTTAAGCCCTGCAAAGACTCCTCGTAAATCCGGCCAAACCATTGTTGACGGACCTGCACATCTCTAGCCGCCAGTATTTCGAAACATTCGCTTACTGCTTCGGCAGAGGTCTCCCGAATGAGAACCTTTGGATCTCGCAATGCTACCCAAATGAGCTCAAATATCTGTGGGACAAAGCCGTAAAGTAGGGTCGGGGAACCGTTTGCAAGCTCCCGGATGACTAGGACAGCTGCAAACCGTCTACTCTCTTGTCTTTCAGACTGTAACCATTCCAGGGCAGATTGGATTTCGCTTTCCACCAGCTCCGCAGTCAAAGCACCTCCAGGCTTGGCCAGACGACCCAGGGAGCGTGCTGCATATATTAAAACTGCGTTATCATTGCTACGTAGGGCACTTCGTAAGTAGCTTGCGAACCGGGTGGTTTTTTGAGCAGCATCCACGCCATCGAAATCGATCAACCTGTCGAGGGCGAGAAGCCCACCAATCTTCTCGTTTGCGTCATTTCCGGTAACAACGAGCTGGGCGATACGTTGAGAGACAACGTTGTAGTATTCGATGAATTTATCGGGAGGAAGCTCTAAAACATGGGGGAAATAAATCGTCAGCAAATCCCTCACCTTAGCTCACAGAGTTTGAGATTTAAAGAGTAAAGACGAGTGATATAACCTCTAGAAACAGCGACGACATTATCGTGGAGCTCGTATGATGCGCGGGAGCGGGTGTCTTCGTGCTTGGACTTCAGATCGTGGAAAATGCGCTGGGTCGCGTCAGTCCCCGAAGCTGCCTGCGCCATGATGGGGTATTGATTTGGAAACTGGCATGTGGCATCTGCCTCATGCAAGCAGGCTAAACATAGATACTCATCGAGGTATGCTGATATTTCCGCAGAAGTTGATATCTCTTGCAGTGAGTTGTGGTTGACGCTATTGTGCTAGGCGGTATGTAATGGTGAGGCTCAAATCCCGTGACTGAGGATAAATACTTCCCGGCTCCACATCTGAACAGTGTACGGACTGTACCCTACTTACTGTAGGTCTGGACTGGACTAATTAATCTCTCATATGCAAAGATGCTTTGAAATTACTTTATATTAGGCTACCAAATAAAGTACAGCTTTCGTAGAATATTATCATAGGCCACCCTGCTAGAAGCCGAAGGGCGAAATTCTAGAATTCTATCCTACAAACTTGATCGATAACCAAATAGCGTAAAAGCGTTGTGGTCAGATCTCCCAGCTCATATTTTATAAAAGTAAAGTTTGGCACAGTGCATAAATTCCATGATTCACCTAGATCTACTTTAAATATGCATTTTGAGAAGGCTGTTCAAAGCTCTACAATGGTTTCGGTATACTTTGATATAACTCTGCGTTTATGGTTTACTATGTCAACCGTACGAAAATCTTCATTGGTGTCGAGTCCACTTTTTCCATGACGGTTGGACTGACAACCTTCAACTGTCAGCGGGTTGCGAATGTGCTGAGGACAACAATGGCAGCCAGGCTATCTCCTACGGCGAATTTGTTTCGCAAATCTCGACTATTTGCGCTTCCCCCAACCCTCACTCCTCCAGCCCAAGCCGCATCCTCGAGCCAAATCGCCGAATCCGATACTGCAACCCTTCCTTATCCTATCCGCGCTGCAATTGTTACCCCAGATTCATCACTAGCAAGGGGCGATTGGGGCCTCAAGCGACCATTGCCAGCGAAGTCGACGATACAGAGTTCATCAACACCCGTTGTGCGGATCAATGCACTAGACACGTTTGAGCATGTCACCGATTTCGAATCCGCCGGAGACCATATCAAGACCCTGGCGAAATGGCAGGAACTCTCACTGCCAATATCGCTGCCTAAGAACAATGGAATTGCGATACAGGTCGGTGGGGGAAACCATGAGAGCGTTTTCGAAACCAAAATAGATAATACACACGAAACTCCCAACACACCAGCGCCAGATTCCAAGCGATTTAGGTTTGGTGGCCCGTGGGTAGCTGGTCTAACGGATATTGAATTCGATCGATACCTAGCATCCGTTCGCCGCCGAAAGCCAGAATTTATGAAGAAACTACGACAACTCGTTGCAGAGGGGAAACTGGCCGATGCGAGGCGCAAAGCCCGGGAGGGAGGAGAGAATCTCGACGATTTACAGAAGCCTCCAAGCATCAGCGAGAAGGAGTTCCAGACCGCTCTAAGAACTTTGAGAGCCGACCCTACAGCTTTGGGACCGATAATCTCCAAATTTTTGGACCTGCCTCCGCCTCCCCAGACCCCGAGCCACCGGATCCACCTCAGCAGTTGGAGCGCAGCGCCGTCTGAAGCATCGTCTGCAGAATATGGCCGCCGCGGCCCACCCAAGACTCATCCTTCGGCAGGTTTGTCTTATCTACGCACGGGCGCTCAAATTGTCAACCACCCCGTTGTTGGACCGCAAAAACATCCACGACCCGTTCCGGCACGAATTCTTCGACCAAAGCGCCGGCACAGAGGAAATGCTTACAAAGCTGTAGTTGGAGTGGGAGGTATCGTCACAGAGGACGTCAATGCTCATGCGTTTAGGGAGCACAATGGCCCCGGGGGAATCACTGAATTTGACCCCGATGTTCCTGGCGGTTCCAAGTACTGGGTCCACCCTGTGCGTGCCTCAGTGACATCAGAGGGCAAGATCTCTCTTGCAATCGATAGAGCATCGGACGCCGCCAAAGCGCTTCATGGCGGTCTCCCTGAAGCAGAGCCACTGCCGGACTATGTCCGTGGCACCCAACGAACGTTCGACGACTTGGTCACAAAAAGACCTGTGAATCGGGCCATGGCGGGTGCGGGGACAAATAGTAGCCCACAAGACATACTAAACCTTCTCAAGGAGTCGAAAGAGTCAAACCCGGATTCCTCGTGAGATAACATTCTAGACTGTACAGTACACCCTAAACGTTGGAAGTTGTTATTTAGATTTAGCAACATCTGAAACACATTTTTCAGCCACCTTCTGCAGATTACTTTGCAATCGGAGTTACTTTCTTTCCCTATCTCTACGTATTCCGTATATATTATTTATTTTCATTATTTATCGCATTTACTGTAAACTCTACAAATCTTCTAGGTGTGTGAAGACGTAAGTTTCACATCACGTGATGTAGGGCACACAACGAAGCGAAATCTCCGCCAAAACGACATCACGAAATCCACACCTCCATCAATCTTTCTTTCCTCCTCGTCCCGCCCGCAACTTTCGAATCCCAACCAGCACACCAAAAACCGCCAAAATGGGTCGCGTCCGCACTAAGGTAAGAGAATCACAAAATCCTCCAATTCCTGCTATAACGGAATTCCTAGATTGCTAACTGCAACGCCAACAGACCGTCAAGAAGTCCGCCAAGGTCATCATTGAGCGGTACTATCCCAAGCTCACTCTAGACTTCGAGACCAACAAGCGCATTTGCGATGAGATCGCTATTATTGCCTCCAAGCGTCTGCGCAACAAGGTGCGCTCCAATATTCCGCCACGGACAGGAACTAAGATATGACTTGACGATTGGTGAATTCTAATATTTCGAAATAGATTGCCGGCTACACCACCCACTTGATGAAGCGTATCCAGCGCGGCCCTGTCCGTGGTATCTCCTTCAAGCTGCAGGAGGAGGAGCGTGAGCGCAAGGATCAATACGTCCCCGAGATCTCGGCTTTGGACGTCTCGCAGACCGAGAGCGGACAGCTGGATGTTGATGCTGATACCAAGGACCTGCTCAAGAGCCTCGGTGTAAGTTTTCAATGCGCCTTGAAAAATGAAAATTGCAGGTTGTTCTCTAACTGTTTCCTTCTCTCGTTTCGTTTAGTTTGATGCCCTCAAGGTCAACGTCGTCCCAGTCAGCCAGCAGACGAGCGATAACCGCCCTCGTCGCTATGGCGGTGGCCGTTAAATTCCCTCCGTTTCTATGAAAAAAATTGGTTGTTAAAAAGGTTTTCATCTTAAGGTCGCATGCAATGATGGAATGAAAGGCGTTTTTCCCCCTCGTTTTATTCCCCATTTTTTTAGGGCGGGAACTGGACGGATTGAAAACAGGAAAGAAAAAGGGCCGCTGTGATCGACTGTCCCGCATTGGAGTCATCGTGCGACGCCCTCCTCTTTTTACTTTCAGTTTTTTTATTGCAGGTTAACTCACGACAAACCGGACAAGAATATAAAGGGTATTTATCTCAAGACAAGGTGTCGCTGATTCCTCACGGATGATGCTTGATTGCCAAAATTGTTCTTTTGTTTGCTTTTTCAAGTTTACCTCAACACCTTTTAAGAGGCGAGGCTGCTTGGAGTGACGCTCCTTGAAAATTTAGCCTCACCATTGCCTCAGTGCTCTTGAGGTATGGTATAGATAATATTTATTTTGGAATGGACGAAAAACGGTAGGTCCTAGATCAATTGCTAGTTCGATTGATATATACTTGACTCAAAAACTTGCGGATGTAGATGTTATCATTGTTCGAATAAAAAACCTTGGTAAACTCCTTTTATCCCCTCCTGCAGAACCCGTTATAGTGCACGCCGGATATGGCACCGCCTTTGGACGCACGCCTCAACGCGAAACAACATTAAATACGTTAAATAGTAGGGAGGATATCATCATCTTCGTCGTCGTCGTCGTCGTCGTCGTCGTTTGGCGCATGTTGCCTTGCGGTACCAAGTTGCTTCGTTGGCTCAAAGCCTTCAATCGAGCCACCACATAAATCTTCCGCGTGCAACGATGGAGGTTGAACCATGGCTGCTTTAGTGCTTGTGCCCTGCTGTTTCTCCAAGATATTCACACCAACCCGTCCTGCAGCCAACCCGCGGTGGTTCGTAGCGCTATCTCCTCTTTCAATAGCAAGCGCGGCCTGGCCAGCCTCCCGATCATCACGAACAGCCAACTGCCCCATCCCATCCACAATCGCCTCAGGTTCCAAGCTCTTATCACTAATCACCAGCCGGCGCATAGCCTCTTCGACATCACTCGCCCCCTTTACCTGCTCTTCCTGCACAACCTCCCCCCCGATTTCACCCTCCTTCCCCTTCATCCTATTCCTCTCCTTCCTGGCCCTCCCTTCCTCCAGTAGTAAAATCTGCTCCGCCTGCGCTTGTCCCGTCCCAACAGAGCTCCTCTCCCACGCCGGCTGGTCAATCAGCTGCACACGAATATACATGGCGCGCTCCGCACACTCGTCTGAACACCATTTCTCAATCTGCTCCTTCGGTACAACCTTCATTTCCTTCCCGCGCCCGCCAGGCCCACTCCCTTTCTTCCCCCATACAATCCTGAACTTCGCCCTAGGGTCTTCCTTCCTATGTTCATTGGCGCAGAGTACGTAGCCGCAGCGGCCGTCAATGTTCCTTTCCAGGATTAGATTGTCATAGTCCGATGGCTGGAATGGGATGAGGGCTTCTTTAAAGGCTTGGACGTCTGCGGGAAGAGGGGAAGAGGCTTGGGCAATGGGGGAACTAGGGAAGGAGAGGAGTTCCTCGATGCGGGCGAGGATTAGGGCCTCTGTGTCCTTGCGGGCTTGTATTTGGTGGGCGTGGTGGAGGGCTATGGCTAGATGGCGGGGATCAGGGGCTGGTTTGCGTTGTTTGGTCACAGCTTTTGGTCTGGAGGTGGCGGCGGCGGTAGTTGTGCGGGAGGGGTTTGTGTTTGGGGGCTGGGGCGGGGGCGGGGGCGGGGGCGGGGTTTCTTTGGTGAAAGCTGCATGGATTGCAGGTAGTGAGGATTTCATGGTGGGTGGCCCTTGAGGTGCGGGATTGTTGGACATTCTGGCGGTGTTACTGTAGCGTAAATGCACCTGGGAGGCAGAAGGGGATCACCTGGACGCGAAGCCAGGGGACTTATTTCGTCCCCTTTTCCTCTTCCCTTCCCTCCTCTTCTCGTCTCCTTCTAGACACCCGATGAGACGACAGCGGGAAGGAGAAGACTAATTAATAGAAGCAATTTTTTTACCCGCTGGAAGAGGCTAGAAGTTTAGTTCGGCAGCAACCCGATAGCAGCCAAACAGTAGTTGGATATCAGAAAATATTCGAGTTTCACACTTGGAGGGAGAAGTGAACTGCAGCTGCTGTTTCAGAAGCCTAGGGCCAAATGAATTGGCGTTGAACACGGATAGATATTCTCTTTTAACTCACATCAGCAGAAGAGGAGTGATATCAAACCCAGTCTTTCAATCCAACCAGTGGTTTGGGTCTCATACGTCGCGGTTGATGGTGGAAGTGGCGTAGGCGGCGACATCTAGTTCACACCTAAATGAGCCGCACCAGCCACAGCTTACAAACTGCTTCCTCCACCATCATTCATACCAACGACAAACCATCACGACCAACTATTTGCTATCTGAACCAAGTGGGCTGTTGACACTCCCGCTGTTCTACAAATCAACCTCCATTCCTACGTTCCTTTATATCCTCTAACATTGAATGTTTTTGGCGTAATAAATCTCTCCTGTCCCGTAAATCCTCGGTTCCATATCTCAACTATCCTGGTGAGACTTCCCCACTTGTTCCTGGGCCTATTGAATACTCCGGATCAGGAGTGTTAGCTGCCGGACAACCCCTGTTTTGGCTGCTGACGTGGTTTAGGTCTATGAACTTCTACGGTTTCAGCCTCTACTGGCATATCCTGCGCAACGAAGGAGCCTTAATAAACTAATTTGTCTGCTGCGAAAACTCAATTTGGCGGTCTGTTGTTGTTGCTGTTGTCGCTGTCGTCTTCAGCCCTGGAGTCAGAGAGGGTCACAACCAAAGCCGCAACCCCCGCCAACCCCCTAATTACTCTGCGCATCCAGCGAGAAACCTAACTTAGACCCCGCGTTCTACCCGTTCTATTAATTCGGCTCCAGTATAATTTCTGCGAGGTGAATGCAACCGTCCAACCAAATGTCGGGCGTTCCGTTCACAGTCAGGGCGGTGTTTGAATACACCTCCGAGCACGAGGATGATCTTAACTTTTCGGTCGACCAGATCATCAAGGTAACCGCGGAGGAGGATGATGACTGGTACTTTGGAGAATATGTGGATGAGTCGGGCTCCAAGAAAGAAGGCATTTTCCCTCGGAATTTCGTCGAAAGATACGAACCCCCCGCACCCCCTCGACCGACGAGACCTTCGAGGTCAAGGAAGGAGCCTGAACTTCCTGCTGCTGCTACTGCTCCTCCAGTGGACCCAACTCTCGCCACTGCCCCTGCACCAATGTCTCCGAAGATTGTAAATGAACGCGCTGAACCAGAACATGAGCAAGTACCAGCAATGCCACAGGCAGCAGCAGAACCTCAGCTACCACCAGCGCCACAACCCGTTGAGGCTGCTCAAGCGACCGCTGCAGCGCCAGTTGCACCCCCTTCCCCGAAACCCGTCGAAGCGCAACAACCCGTGCAAAAGCCAGCGTCAAAAGCTCCGCCTCCGGCAGTAGCGGAAAAACCTACGGGCTCCTCATTTAAAGACCGTATCGCGGCATTTAACAAACCTGCAGCCCCTCCAATTACTCCATTCGACCCGAATAAGCCTCCTTCCTCCTCCTCGTTTATCAAGAAACCGTTTATTGCTCCTCCTCCGAGCAGAAATGCTTATGTACCACCGCCTATGGAGCAGCCACAGAAGATATATAGGCGAGAAGAAGACCCCGATATTGTGGAGCGCACCAGCCATGATAGGCCCGTGCCGGAGCGCCCCATTATATCTGCAGATCCTGAGGAGACAGAAGACCAGCCCAAGCCTACGAGTTTGAAAGAGAGAATTGCATTACTACAAAAGCAGCAGCTTGAGCAGGCGGCACGTCATGCAGAAGCTGCTCAGAAGAAGGAGAGGCCCAAGAAGCCTCCAAAGAAGCGCATGGAGTCTCAAGAGCGGACGGAACAAATTGGCGCTGTTCATGGCGCTGAGCTAGAAAGGATCGAAACTTCCGAAACCGCCAAGGATTCCAATGCCGCGGCTTCCATCCATGAAGGTCCCGAATCACCTGGGCGCGCCCGCTCTCCTACGCAGCCCTCCAGGGAGCTCACAAGTGATACCAACGATGCAGACTATTCCGGCGCTGGGGATACTGAAGAGGCTGATGAAGCTTCCACCGGAAGGGAAGACACCGACGACCAACATCGCGAGTTGAGGAAAAAGCAAGCGTCGGATTCTAAACAGGCTTTAGACGGTGAGGATGAGATTGAGGAGGAACCAGATGACGAGGAGGAAGAGGAAATAGACCCCGAAATTCGACGGCGCATGGAAATTCGTGAACGGATGGCTAAAATGAGTGGCGGTATGGGCATGATGGGGATGTTTGGTCCTCCGGGAGGACTCCCACCGGCCGGCGGATTCCGAAAGTCAAAACCGCCTGCAGCTGATTCCGAGCGGAAATCGTCTGAGGACCATCGACATTCTTCATCTGCCATGCATGCACCTCCCGTCCCTTTAATGGGCTTGCCAGGAATGTATGCTAAGAAACCCGCTGAGCCAGCGCCAGAAGTGGGCGAAGACGAGGGCCAGGAGGTTCAGCCAACTCCTGATCCGAGATCTACGGAGCCACCTGTCGAAGAGCCACCCAAACCCCCGACCGAGCTCCCACCAGCGCCTACAGAGCGGGCGGTAGCACCACTTCCACCCCAAGGTATATATAAATATCTCCAGTCTAAGTAGTTTGATAACCTGAAATATCGTCCAATTTTAACCTTTTATGTAGACCAACCCGCGTCCTCACCTCCACCAAAACTCGCAAGGCCCTTTCCACCACCAATTCCGAAGGAGCTTCCGGCTCCCCCTATCCCCACAGATTGTAAGTTATCCGCCTGAGTTCTCCACTACCTCCTAATACTAATACAATTTCTGAAGCTCGCCCATCGACGTTGCCATCGAGACCTATTGCCTCACCAAGCCTTGGTAGTGAATCCGATGACGAACTCTCTGCCCCTCAAGGTCCTGGACAGCAGCCTTCAGATTCCTTGGACCTTTCGGACCGGAATGGGGCGCCGCAGTCGCCCAGACAATCGTTCAGCCCTGAGCCATCCGGTAGTTTAAAGTCGCCTACTATGAGTGCTGAAAAACGTGCCAGCCGTGGCCCCCCACCAATACCCCTTGCCAGTCCTCCTTTACCTTCGCCTAGCCACACTCGTCCGCCACCCCCTCCTCCGCCCATGCCTGGCCGTAGGTCTACCAATGACAGTAAAATGAACGCCTCCACTCCAACCACTATGTCCGGGGGGGACAACAGCGAGGAAGAAGTTACCGAGTATGATGGGGACTATGACACGGACATTGCATCCGGGGTAAAGCACAAAGATGCGTTGAAGGCACATGTGCGTGAGTCAAGTTTTGATGAAGATACCATAACAGATGAGTTCTCTGCGCAGTCTCCCAGGAGCCCACAGGACATGCGGCCTCCTCCTCTTCCCCCCACTGCCGCCCCTCGTGCAGTTCCTCCCCCACCACCCACTCAGCCACCGAAACACGCGCGAAAATCCGCAGACATGCCTAGAGGCCCACCTCCGCCAGTGCCTCCCTTAAAGGATCAAACTGGAAACGCAGCGGATGATAGTGAAGACTACGACCCATTCCGCTATAGTGCCCGTTCACCCGTACCTCCTAGCGGACTCCCCAGCTTACCCTCTAGTGCACCGCGAGTCGAACTAAACCTGCCACTGCGAAACCCCCCTCCTGAGGATGAAGATGATGATCTCTATTCAGCCTCGCTCCCCCGACCGTTTCAACAGCAGCCACAGCCACTCTCTACTGAGAGGGCGGCTCCTGGAGCTCCCCCATCGTGGAACCCACCGAGGCAGTCTATGGATGCTCCCAGGTCTGCGCCAAATGCTCGCAGATCAATGGACGTTTCGCGCCCCACTGGAGACCAAGGATATATCGCAAGCGACGTGGACTTGGGCGCCAGCTCACTCTGGTGGACACAGCCTAACTTACCACCTCCAGCCTTCCAGAAACGGCGCGACGTCCATTTCGAGATAGACCAATCCACCCCGACCAACCGCGGCGGTGACACCACCGTCTCCAAGGCCGTCTATATCCTCTTCATGGATTACTCACAAACCATCGTAACCGTCCAATTCGATTCCAAAAACCCCATCGACGCCATCCTCGAGCAACGTCACGAACCTCCTCCCCAGCGCCTGCGCCAAGACCAGCTCGAAAGCGCCCACGAGCAATTCGGCACTCGCATCTCCGACGCTGTCACTGCAAAGCAAAACAGTATAGTGGGAGACGGCACGCCGCACGGCCTCGTCCTATCACTCCTAACCCCTCTCTCCGACGCGCTACCGCCAATCGGCACGCGCGCCTACGGCTCCCTTGTCTATGCTAATCTAGCCAACGCGTCTGTGCAGCAGGTCGATGAGATTCGCGCGGGCGATATTGTCACGTTCCGGAACGCGCGGTTCCAAGGCCATCGCGGAACGATGCATCAGAAGTACAGTGCTGAAGTGGGTAAGCCGGACCATGTGGGTATTGTTGTCGATTGGGATGGGACGAAGAAGAAGATCCGGGCGTGGGAGCAGGGGAGGGAAAGTAAGAAGGTTAAGATGGAGAGTTTTAAGTTGGGAGATTTGAAGAGTGGGGAGTGTCGGGTTTGGAGGATTATGCCGCGGAGTTGGGTTGGGTGGGACGGCTTGCACTGAGTGGATGAGCTTTTGTGTGTTTGTGTTTTGTGAGTGGGTAAAGGGGTGTGACAAGAACCTTATCAGGGGAAGCAGGAGGGATGGTATAAAGGAACGAACCCTTTTATTGTTTATTGTCTTATGATGAATGCTCCTTCATATTCCCCTATTTTTTTACCCTTTGAAATGTGCATACGCCTTTTTTTTATTTATTTATTTTGTGCTGCTTTCTTCCCCCGTCTTTGCATGAAATATAACGTTCCTAGATGAGCTGGGTTCGGCCGATTAGGCGCTGCTTTAACGTAGTATACATATAGCGACTGCAGTAGTCAAGAATGAGATGTTATCACTTGCCGTCGTTGGAGGTGGATGTGAAGCGGGCGTCGCACCCCCCCCCCTTTTTTTTTTGGCCTGTAATTTATGATTTTGTCCCTTGGATCACTATTCATATTGGCCTGATTAATATTCGGCGTTCAATTTACCATATTTATGGGATATATTTTCTTCTTCTCCATTTTTTCTTTCATTCTTTTTCATTCCTCTTTTTTTCTTTTTCTTTTTTTTTTTTTTTTTCCCGGAGGAATTGCGATGAGTGGACGAATTTTCTATTATACATATATTCGAACCCTCTCCGTCGCTCTGCCTCCCATTTTCACTCATTCTTTTTCTGCTCATCAGCTACGCGAAAGAAAAGAACATGTCGCCCTGCTCCTGATAGTTTTTCGCATATAATTAGGTGGTACCTCCAGCCTTCGATCACCAAATGCTCCCCGCAAAACGGCTCTGCCCACCCCCGCATGACCACGGCGGCCTGGAGTGACATAGGGACGAAAATATCTTTTGACATATTTCCTGGCCGTAACACAGGAGTTGAAATACAGATATCTCAGCTCAGACTTAAAACAGCTGTGATTGTTGCTATGCAAAGAAGCGCACCGACGCCCATTCGTCATGTATAATGCATATAAATATGCATTCGACCCATCGGGCACTACAGACTGCCGTCCGTAGCTTGTCTTTCCATGTTGCGAGTTCGGTCCGAATCATCGCTCTATGTTTTCGCCCCTCATCCTTAAGTCTGTTTAGTCACTCCTGTGCGCTTCTTACGAGTTACTGGATCTGGACCCCGACACCAAGCGCGATGTAGGGGGCCTCGGGCTAATGGCATGTTTTCCGACCTCGCATCTCAGGATGCTCCATTATTATACTCCTGTATGAGCTGCTTGGAGTTTGCCATCCATGACTATGATCCAAGCTAGCCTATGTCTGACCTCGGGGTTAATTTTTAACCCACACACTACAGAATAACCAGAGCCAGAGGGGGAAAGGCCTTCACATTTCCCAACATGCACATGTTTTGAGAAATTTTAGCATTGGTACTATACAACTGATATCCTGCAGTGTTGATGGCCAAGCAAACTCGTTTGAGCGAAGAGAACAAACCGCCCTCTCAGGAGACAGCAGGGCTTGCCATTGATGTTGAGCCGGCACCGAATCTATCCCCTATTTCGGATTCTGAGAAGAGCCATCACCATGATCCAGAGAAGGGCAGAGTCATTACGTACCTGAAAACTCGTAAAGCGGCCCGCCAAGATGCGAAAAAGGTCAATCCCGTTTTGCAAGATACAACAGCGGTAGTAGCAGCAGCAGCAGCAGCAGAAGCTCCCAAAAGACCAAAACTCCGCTTCCCCAATCCCATCAAGTCCCTTATAATCCTCCGCGAAAAGGACACCCTAATCGCCCTCATAGCGAATGCCATAATGTTCGCTGCCTTCTACGCCATGAACGCCGCCATCACCTTCCTCTTCCACGACATCTACGGCTACAACAACTTCCAAATTGGTCTCTGTTACATTCTCATTGGTGCCGGGGTGTGCATAGGCTCCATCGCCAACGGCTTCATCCTCGACTATAACTACCGCCGCATTTCCAAGAAAACTCGGCATCCCCACCGTCCGCAACACGCAGCAAGACCTCCGCTATTTCCCTATCGAGCGTGCACGGCTGTAAATCGTGTTCCCGCTGGTGTTCGTGAGCGCCTGCGCCATTGTGAGCTTTGGATGGGTTCTGCATTTCCTCGTCCCGATTGCTGCGCCGCTAGTGCTTCTTTGCATATCTGGGGCTGCCCTTACGAGTGCTGTAAATACGGTAAGTACGCTCATCGTGGATCTGCACCCGGGTAGGGCAGCTACAGTAACGGCATCGAATAATTTGGTCCGCTGCTTGTTTGGGGCCGGTGCCACGGGGGTTATTTCTCCCATGATTCATGGGCTGGGAGTCAGGTGGTGTTTTACCCTTATTGCTTTTATCATGGCGGCCACATCCCCTGTCATGCTCGTCGTGATACGCTTTGGGCCAAAGTGGAGGGAAGAGGGGCGCCTTAAGGCCGAGGCGCGATCAGAACGATATGATTCAGGTTGCCGAGGGAATGGAGAGTCGGCTAAAAAGGTATTGGTAACGTGTATATGACGTTAGGGGGCTCATCGTTTCAGGATATTGATATATCGGCGCAGCGTGAGTGGGGGCAAATGGTTTCGGACGAGAGAAATCTGTTCCAACGACGAAATGACCAGAACATGAGTAATGTGTAGAATTAGATAATTATGAAAATATCTAGTGACATTGAATAAAGCTATTTCCAAACATATACTGTACATATTCTCATTTAAAGGCAAAATATGCTCGTTCCAAAGGTTGGCGCTCTGTCTCCCATGCTAGCCAGTCTGATCTCGTAGTCCTAAAGGCAAATTCATATTAACGTCTATTCGATACCCACAAAGGTATAAGGGTAGAAAGAAGAATAAGGCATGGGGAAAAAAGAAATAAGATAAGAATAAAAAATAGTAAACTCACGGCAATAACCCCATTGCATTAACCTTCCACACCCCGAGCGCCAGCAAAACACACTGCATCAGCACATACACAGCCTTAACCCCTAGCATCTGCCCCCTAGTACTCTCCGTCTCAAACTTCACAAAAGCGCTGTTCGTATTCAGTAGACCCTGGATGGGCCCCTTGAACAGCATGAACACCATCATGATGCTGAATATCTGCAGGCTGTTGCCGGACATATACATCATGATTGCGTTCATGGGCAGTTGCTTTGTGGGCGCCAGGGCGAGTTCCCAGGCCTTTTTTAATTTTAGCGCGTCGGTTTCGGCGGCTTTGCGGAGGGCGGCGGCGGTGGTGGTGGATTGTTGTTGGTGTTGTGGGGAAGTTCGCTGCTGGGAGGGAGGATGGGGTCAGCTTGTGGGTTTCTTGACGCGGGTTTTTTCCCTTCTTTTTTCCTTCTGGCTTTTGTTTGGCTTGAAAAGAGGGTACATACCTGCTTTGTAATGGGTTTGCTGGCGGAATAGCCCGGTGGATCAGGGATATTGGTTGATTTCGGGGGTCGCGGAGGTGTAGCAGCGTTCATTTCGATGGCCCATCGCGGTGGAGGGGGAGGTGATGGGGTGGCTTCTGGAGCCATTTTTCTGGACAAAATTTATTTCTCTTTCGCTTTTTAAAGTAGCTGAAGGGGATGGCTCTGTGCTGGACGGTGTGCTGGTAAGTTTGGAGGAGGGGTTGCAGTAAATGTTTCGTTGAGTTGTAAGTTGAGAGGTTGGAAGGTCGGAGGTTGTAGCTTGAGGCCGTCGTCGTCGATTCATTTCTCCGAAGCGGAAGGCGGCTCCTTATTCTTCAGAGACACAGCTCAACCTCCAACTTCTGAACAACATCCTAACAACTTCCTGACAACCTCAACCGCACTATACAACACTCCTCTAACCTCACCGTGCGATATTCCTACGTTTACGTGTCCTTCTGCCTCGAATTGGCCCCCTCGATATTCAGATACGGTCATGGTTGGGAAATGGGCACCCTGATCACTGCCCTGCCTACTCCCACCAACAGAAGGCGTTCCATGTGATAGCGTCGCCCAGAAGCCACCCTAGACACCTTTGGACCGGACGAAAAAGCAGGCTTTGGGATTAATAACTAAGTCAAGATGAGTTCGAGCGGGGGAGATGCGAGGCTGTTTGCAAGGGTATGTTCTGCTTGCTGTCTCCTGACTTGTATCACAAGTATCCATTTCTGTGGCCCGCAAATGAATCAATACGTACCTGTATAAACGGGCTATGATCGTCCCTTAACTCAGAGATTCTTGTACCGCTTGTTGAGTGCGCCATCATCGCTTCTGCCCCAAAGTTTGCGTTTGGTCGTCGATACGGCGCCCCGCTCCATCATATACTATTCATAAGCACTGTCTCTTGCACGTTATTCTACCCCCTTTGTTATAGTTCCTTGGAAATCCAATCGCCGGGAGTTTTATCTTACAACTCGCGTCCAAATGGTTGCCTTTCCTCCTCTATATGTATCCTCGGGCTCACTCACCACCCATCGTTTGCAGGGCAAAGTCGCGGAGCTCCGTCAGGAGCTCAACAGCGGCGGCAAGAAGGATCGAAACCACTCTGCGAAGAAGATTACGTTGAAGAAGATCGTCGCCAATATGACTATGAGCAATAATGATATGGTTGCGCTTTTCCCCGACGTGATTGGCTGTATGAATATTCCGAGCTTGGAGATTAAGAAAATGTAGGGCGGATCACCGAAACCTGACGCGGGGGAGGATCTGATGGGACGCAACGAAACTGATATTGTGGAAATAGGTGCTTTTTATTTCTCGTCAACTACGCCAAGTCGAAGCCGGATGTAGCTCTTAATGCTCTACCAATTCTAATCAATGTATGGATACCGAGACTGAGGGTTTATACACCTGTTGGAGATACACACTGACTGGAGCCCTGTAGGACATGGAGGATTCGAATCCCCTCGTGCGGGCGCTTGCCTTGCGGACAGTATCTTATATTCATGTCCCCAAGTTTGTTGAAGCGACGCTCCAGCCGCTTAAATTCCTATTGGGGGACGACGACCCCTATGTTAGAAAGACTGCTGCTTTTTGTGTTGCAAAACTATACGACCATGACCCGAGGCTCGTGGAGAAGTCCGACTTGATCTATCGACTGAATGAAATGCTCAAGGATGATAATCCCACTGTCGTATCGAGTGCTCTAGCTGCACTCACTGACTTGTGGGAACGAAGCGAGTCTATTCAGCTTACGATTGATTATAAGAGTGCATCTAAAATAATTTCCATCTTGCCAGATTGTTCCGAGTATGTACTCTATCACTCTGAGAAGTGAGTTTCTGATACATCAGTGCTAACAACATCAGATGGGGCCAAACATACGTGCTGGAAGCATTAATGTCTTACGTGCCGCAGGAATCAGCAGAAGCGCTTCTCTTGGCCGAACGAATCGCACCCCGTCTATCGCATTCCAATTCAGCCGTTGTACTGACCTCTATCCGGGTTATCCTTTATTTGATGAATTATATATCAGACCAGAAGCAGATTACCTCCCTTTCACGAAAGCTTTCTCCACCCCTGGTAACCCTTTTATCCAAAGGGCCAGAGGTTCAGTATCTCGCACTACGAAATGCCATCTTGATATTACAGCGGCGACCTGAAGTATTGCGGAACGATATCCGCGTGTTCTTTTGTAAATATAATGACCCGATTTATGTCAAAGTGACAAAATTAGAGTTAATCTTCATGCTGGCGACAAAAGATAACATTTCGGTGGTTTTAACTGAGCTGAAAGAGTAAGCAATGCCCCGTCCGAACATTATCGGCTACTTTACACTGCTGACTTCAATAGATATGCCACCGAGATCGATGTCCATTTCGTTCGCAAAGCCGTGCGTGCGATTGGTAAATTGGCAATCAAGATTGAATCAGCCGCGAGGCAATGTATTGAAACGCTAATCGATTTGGTGAATGCTAAAATCCCATATATCGTTCAGGAGGCCACCGTAGTCATCCGAAATATATTTCGAAAATACCCGAATCAGTACGAAGGGATTATTGGCACTGTTATCCAAAACATTGATGAGCTGGACGAGCCAGAAGCCAAAGCTGCAGTTATCTGGATTATTGGCCAATATGCTGACCGTATTGAAAACTCAGACGGCTTCCTCCAGGACTATCTCGCAACTTTCCACGACGAAACCGTCGAGGTCCAACTTGCCCTCCTCACCGCTACTGTCAAACTCTTCATCCAGCGCCCGACAAAAGGCCAACAGCTTGTCCCTCAGGTCCTGAAATGGTGCACAGAAGAAACCGATGACCCAGACCTCCGCGATCGCGGCTACATGTACTGGCGACTCCTCTCCACAGACCCCAATGCTGCACGTGCCATCGTAATGGGCGAGAAACCCCCCATAACCGCCGAGAGCGAAAAGCTGAACCCTGCCACTCTCGAAGAGTTATGTCTCAACGTCGGAACACTCGCAACCGTCTACCTAAAACCCGTCCAACATGTTTTCCGCAACGCGAGACCCAGACGCCTAGCTCCCAGTCCGGCGCTGCAAAGCCCACCACCAGACAAGCCTAGAGGCCTCCCTCTGACCCTCCAAGAGCACCATAATATTCCATCCAACGCCGCCGCCGCCACATCATCAGGTACCGCTGGTAAAGGTGACCTCGCCGCTGCTGTGAACGCCGCGGATGAGTATTTCGCCACGGTTGGACCGCAGCAGATCGCGGCTATGAACCTCAACAACGGCGTTGGTGGGGGCGGTGCGCCACAGACTCAGTATGTGGTCAATCAGAATCAGCAGCAGGCGTATGGACCCGGGGTTCCTGGTGGAGCGGTGACGGGAGAGCTACTTCTCATCTGAGACCGGATAAAAGACCACGAGAGGAGGAAGAACCAATTTGGATTTATTTGGATTGGGATAGACTAGGGAAGGCCTTTGGATGCCATGTGCTTTTTGTTGCGTGCCTTTTGGCCTTACGTCCTTTTGGCCCATGTGGAATGTATCCCGAGAAAGCATTCATTCGCATAATTTTTGTTGGATCGTCCCATATGTAATGTAGAGGCAACCAACCCCCTTTTCCCCCATTTTTTCAAAGATGTACGGTGCTTTTCTGTCTTTTCTTTCGTCTGGTCCTCCCTTACGATTGTAATTTTCTCGTCGTTTATACTTTTTATATTTCTATTTTGGTTTAGTTATGTACGACCATGCTTATTTTATATACTCCGCACTTCTCCAGTCAGTCTTTTTTCGTTCTTAACGCCACGAAGACTTGCCTCAAAAATATCCGCACGCCAACGACTTCAGTGCATATTGATACTCGATAAAAGATGACGAGAACTGTCAATGGGAGGACGCCTAATACCTACCTACTTCCTACTTCTCCCGCTTACCATTCTCCAGCTCCACCTCCTCGCATGCCTTCACAAAAATCTGCACAAAGTTCCACACGTCCACAAAGGTATTATACAACGGTGCCGGTGCAACACGAATCACATTCGGTTTCCGCTCATCCACCACAACCCCACTAGCCATCAGCCGCGAGAAGACACCATCCAGTATATCCCCACGTAGCAGGATGCTTAGCTGCGCACCTCGCTCCATCGGGTTCGAGGGAGTGATTATGGAGAAGAGTTTGGGGCCTGATGATTCTGGTTGCGGACAGGTTTTTAGCAGGAGATATTCCATGTAGGCGGTTAGCTGGAGGGATTTCTGGCGTAGGGCGGGCATCGTGGCGGCGGAGAACATCTCGAGGGAGGCAAGTACGGCGGACAGGTCGAGGGCGGAGG